GAAGGCAAGGGCAGGTAAAGCATGATTGACTGAGACTTTGCAAGGGTTTTGTTTTGTAGTACATGGAAATTGCATTAAATATTTTTCATTCCAAACAGTGCTCAACTCACATGAAGGCAACTTTGAGCATAAATCCCATGACTTAGACCCCATTCACATAGATTTTAGATCGATCTATCCCTGTGGGGAGTCTCACTAGATTACTGTCAGCTTAGCCGGCGTCTGTCCCGCCTACTAAAAGCTGTAAGGGGGTAATTAACCATGGTGTGCGCTTGGCAGACTGCAATTTAGCGTGAACCCCCAGGGAGTTAGGTCGATTTACATCTGAATCACTGGATCGATCTAAATCTCTGGGAATGCACCCTTATTTTAAAAATATAACTTTATACAGTAGCATTTTAAAAACTTGCACGATACCTCACAAATAAGCTTAAAAAATCATATGCAAGCGGACCTTTAAAAATCCAAAGTTGATTAACTATATAGGGGGGGAGGGGTGTCTGGGGGGAGGGTAAATACAACACCCAATAACTAAATTTCCAGATGAATCCAGAAAATTTTAATCCGTAATGACATTTTTAGGGAAAAAAAATCATACAAAATTCTTCTTTTTTGCGAAAAATGAATGCAAAAAAGGTGAAAAGGCAGAGAGTGAATAAATCGAAGTACTTAAAAGTACCTTTGATTTTAGAATTTTGTTCAGAAGAAAACGTGACTGCAAATGACCTGTTACACAGTTGATGAAAATTCTCACTCATTTCAAACCTCGAATACTCACACAATAAATCAATCATCGCCAGAGGAATATCCAGGCTTTATTTCCATTAAAGAACACAATTCACTTTTTAACCAGTGGTGCTTGACCTGCAATAACCTGGTCAATATTCCTTATTTTTCCTCAGTAGGTGCATTCACATCAGAATTCACTCACAGAGATGAAAGTGGACCTCTATTATGAGGGTCAGGGGAAGGGGCATATAACACCCAAATATCGAGATTTTTTTAATCCAGTCAACTTTCATCAGAAAACAAACTTAACTATTCTAAACATTTTTTGAACAACCAGACAATTAAATATGAGATTTACAATCATCAAGCAGCATAAGGGGGTCCCTGGGATTAACTAGGCTCATGATGTCATTTAGATAGAAAGTTTAGGTTTATCCTGATGTGAACATGTCTCTGCTTTATAAGCTACCATTCTTCTGTCTTTTAACACCCATTGTATCTATATACGGTACCTAGCTAGAGGCTGGAGAGGTGAATGTTTACCCAGGGGATGATCTATTTACCCCGGGGGTTTGTAATCCAGAGCAGCTTTCACACCGTCACGTTGTGTCAACTAATTATAACAAAATGCATGTGACTAATGAAACGAATCAGTGAAGGAAGCAGAACAGGTTTAGTGCACTGATCAATGCCATCGAGGGATTCAAGTGTTATAGGAAAAAGGCGTTAACAAAATCAGAACAGAGACCATGGTTTTTGGAGTCTTCAGGATATTTTTCACTGGTGATGGGCCAGCCTAATTAAAGGCTTTTTCGCACTGAGTTATACCTATATCCTGATGATTTAGCTTAACTGACATGTTTTGAGACATCAACAATTTAATAATCTCATTTTTTAAAAGCAACAGATCACCTAAGTGGAGCACCCCCCCCCCCCCCAACCAACCAACCATCCTTTCCCCAAGCTCAACTAGGCCAATTATTGCTATTATACTTGGGTTATTTATGAAGAGAAATGGCCGTTCTTTGCATTTTTTTTCTGACAAAAAAAAATCAGCTGTGGGCATAAGTCAAATAAAACTTCCATCACTTTTCTTCAATGGAAAATCTGGCCCACTGAACAAAAACTAGGTAAAGTATGACCCAAACAAAATATTTTCAGCTCGTACCTTTTTATCATAGGCTCAAATCTACTCTTCCATACAAATAATATCAATCACAATCCATACCACACAGCTGAAAAAAAAAGGGATATGAATATTAAATACTCATTAAAGTGCAACATGATACCTCCACAAATGCAGTTATGACACAGCTTAAAATGCAAATCATGATAAACGGCTACAATTTGCTGGCTCCCTTCTCAACTTCAATCATTGCTTAAAAAATTGATACCCTTGAAAAGATGTATTTACCGTTGCATTTGTAAGTCTAAACTGGTATTAAATTTCATTTGGTTGGGAAAAAACATCATTCCCTTGAATTTCCTTCTGAAATTTTTACCTGAATTTTTTTTATTTCAATTCTGTGCATTTTTTTTTTTTTTTTT